GTAAAATGGTCTATTGCTGTAAATTTCTGGCATGTTTCAGCTGATTACAGTATTGTAAGGGGTTGATCAAGGTTCTTAAATGAAAGGAGCTGAAGGGGGCTGTACGTTTGCATGCAAAAGCTAAGACTAACTTAGAGGAAAGGGGGGGGCATGCTATTAACAATATTATTTTTCTCGTAGGTGGTGAAGGTTGTAACCCCTTTACCACAACTTTAACCTATGATTGAGCCATTTTTGGTTCTGATAGAGCAAGAAACGTGTCCTGTTGCGGTAATTTGTCTTAACTGGAATGATTGTGTGATACCTTGTTTCTCTTTGTCTTCTTTAGGTTAATGGAGCTAGCACAAAGGATTTAACACATGTTCAAGTCGTCAGGCTTGTTATTACATCTGGTCCTTGCGTCACATTTTCTTTGAAGTCAGGTAGCAGACAGAGGAGATGTTCCTCAAGGCGGCAACCCATTAGAGTGCAACCCACCCCTCTAAGAACCCAGCAGAGAGGATCACAAGATGTTACTCCCCTAGGAAGCCCATCTTTTACACAGTTCCATCTTCCTGGCTATCCACTCAAGCAGCATGGTGCAGTAGTGGATTCTCCCTCCCAGCTTCCTATGGATGTAATGAGGCTTGACTGTATGCCCCCTCCTCCATACACCCCTGAGGTACCATCCAGACACAGATTGTTAGCACAGGGATGGGAGGGACAAGGACCACAGGAATCCCCTTACCAAGAAGAATCACAGGACAACCATCACCAACAAGAACAACAGGGAGACCCTAACGGACAAGAAGCACGGGACGTCCCTAACCAAGAAGAGCAAGTAGACAGCGCTTCCCAACAAGAACTACAGGAATCCCATCACCAACTAGGTCCACAGAATACCACATACCAACAACAAATACAGGATAACCCTTACCAAGAGGAACTACAAGGCTACCATTGCCGAGAGGTTGCCCTGGAAGTCACAGATGAAAGACAGTCATCAAATACAACGTTGTACTTATTAGATCCAGCTACAGGTATCAGTGATGGTAATAAAGCAAATTTTGAGAAAAAAATGCCAGATTCATTTCAGCATGGCAATATAATAGAGCAAGAGTATATACCAAACCCAGTAATAAATGCCATGCTACTAGAACAGAAGACATCATCAGAAGAAAGAGAACCTGTGATCAATGAAACCACCAGAGATACATCAACATTATTGGATCCAGCTGTTGGCAATAATGATTTGTCCTCCACAAGCAAGTCACCAGCAGCAAGCAATGGAGGAGAATCATTCCTCAGCCAGATAAGGCAGTTTAACAAGGAAAAGCTGAAGAAACTGGCCACATGGTCTTCTGAGAAGTGTCAAAGCATCTCCAGTGGAAGTTATTACACTTCAGATGAATTAAAATGGAAAGAGGGTGGAAAGGATAGCATACAATACAATGGTAAACAGGAGAACATAGATGCTACTAACTTGCTATCTGTTCTTAATCGGGTTATGAAAAACAGAGCAAGAGCATTACATGACACTTTAAGCAGTGCAGATGAAGGTGAAAGTAGTAATGATGATGATGATGATGATGAGTGGGAACTGTGATTTGCCATCAATCTTCTATTTGCTGAGAATCAAGCTTTAATTGTTTTGTCGTGTTATGCTTGCCAATGTATGAGCTAAGTGTCGTGTTATGCCTGCCAATATATGAGCTAAGTGGCTTATCACAGGGTAGGGCTTTAAATGCATGTTTTTCAGCTTTAAGTGACCAGTACTACATGTACTTCCCCTTAATGGGATGCTTGTCGACTATGACACAATCTTTTTTCCAGCAGTTTTTTAGGTTTCTGTGACAGTTTTCCAGTACCCATAATTTATTCACCTTGGTCGTAATGTGAAGAGAGACAATCAATGTGAAGTTCAAAGAGTCTGGTAGACCAAAAGCTGTGATCAGATATTGAACCATCACAGTGCGGCTACTCAAACCGGACCACTTGGAAAAGAGTTTTAACCAACTGGTTAGAAAGTTACTTGAGAACAAAGGATAGTGATCTTTTTCTTAAATAAACCAATAACATTGAGGAATACAAACTACAATAATTCTATAACAAAATTAAAAACCTAATAAAAATGTGGAGTGTTGCCGACCTCTCAGAAAACTTTGCAATTTGTTGATTAGCTAGTTTTGATCCTAACTTTTGTGTGCATTTCAACAGTTTTGGACAGTTTAATTGTTGCAAAACAATTTTCAAGCTAAATTTCAGAAGAAATTGATAAATATAATGATAATTTGCCATCATTCACAAGGACTGAATCTCTAGAGTGTATATAATACAGAGAAGTCAATTATGTATTCATGTCAAACAGACTCTTACTTGCCTTCATGAAAAAGATAGCGCTCCATTGTTCTCAGTTTATGTTCTGATTGGTTAGTGTTCTTCTAGGTGACCTGGTTGAAGCAGTCACACTATAACTGTCAGATCTCAAGTCTGAAGCATGATACCTACTTGATCTTTGGACATGCCCTTTCATAAAAATGAACTTGGGAAAGTCATGCATATAAGTAACCATAGTCACGTAGCAACAACAAGGACATATCTCCTTTTTAATTATAAGGTGTACTGACAATAATTTTTAACATCCAGACTTCAGGAAGCTCAAGAAAGATCTGAATTTCCCAGTCTGCAAGATTTGCAGGTGAATGTGATATTTTCCCCAGAGTCAGAGTTTAGTCTAAAGGCTTTAGGATAAGTCGTTTGTGACCAAATCAAATTTCATGAGGAACTTATTTACAACCCAGCCACAATAAGCTGACAAAACTTGTTTGACTCTACCAAAAGTGCCAACAATGCTTCTCTCCACCAAATTTTCATTTTTCTTTCAATCAGTCAGTCAGTCAGTCAGTCAATCAATCAATCAGTCAGCCATTCAATCCATCTCAATCAATCAGTCAGTTAATCTTTCAATCAGTCAGACAGGCAGGCAGGCAGACTTTCAGCAGTCATTCAGTAAGTTTTCACAAGATTTGGATATCAGTTGAAAAAGGTGGGTAGAGTTTTTCTAATTGTGCTCTTGTTTTGNGATGACAGTTTGAAGTACTTTGTTGAGATGTACAGCAAGACAGGATTCAGGTTAGGAAAGTTCTGAGCTTAAAATTAGGGTTTCTCTAGTCATTCAGCTACAATTCTGACTCCTACATGTATTTAACAGCAGGAGTTCATGAAGCTGGGATAAAAAATTTAATAAGAAAAACAATATTTGAAAATAACTAAGACCACTTCTTATAGCAGCTTTTTTGTCCTCTCTCCATCTAGAGGACCTCTAAATTGGTACAGGACAATGGAAAAAGATTGGCAATGGAACTGCAAGATGGCTGGGCGCAAGGTGACTTCTGTGTCATTGTTATATTTTTGAGTACATCTCTTCCCCTTCCATGGGTATGGAGAGGGTTTGATCAATTTTGAGAGCTATTATGTATAAATAGACTGTTACCTATAAATAGAGTCCTGTGGTTTTCAACTGAGTGTCAAAAGTAATCAGGATATAATAAAAAATTATGCATACTTTGGTACTGGTTTTACTATGTTTTCAGATTAGCTGAGTACATGTAGTCTAATTGGTTTACAACATTCAATTGAAAACTGCTCATGACTTGATGCTTATGACCATGAATTTGAGTTATTATTTTCTTGTAACCAGAATGTTTGACTCTGCACTGACATATTTGGAAGAAATTAACTGCCAATAACTGTTAAGGCTATATTATAGTTAACCTGACTTAAAGTGTGTTGTGTTCCTTTTGCTGTCTTGGCAGGTACAACAACCAAGCTTGATGATTACTACAGGAAAAGATGGTCTTATCAGACCACAATTCTGTGCAAAAATGGACCAGTGGGTAAAGAAAACAATAATTATTATGTTAAAATTAAATTGTTACGGTGACAAAACATTATTAATGATTGACAATGATCGCAAACAATTTGATTGACACTTTTAATTGTTTCATATATTAGGCTCATTAGGTTTCAGTTCGGTTCTCACACGTGTTTCACCAGAAGTACACGCAGTTTTCAGTTTGCTAACCAGTTTTAAGAGTTACACTAAGATCAGAGTCCAATGTTAATGGGAAACCTGTGACAGAAGTGTTAGTTTTTAGTTTGTGCTGTCGGTTCATTACCTACTTTTTGTAATCTGAGTGTTGTAAATACTGGAATGTTTCGTAATTATATCGCATAATTGTATGTTTCAGATTGAATAATTCCTACAAATAAACTTGTTGATTATATGATCGATGGTTTCCCGGCATTAACATCCGTCCGTATTGTGTTGATTTTCCAATGGTCCATAAATCATTGTGTATTGTGCCACATCTTCAGTATACATTGTTTGATTTGTAAGAAAGATAAGACTTTGATCATGATTATCTTGTGTGTCAACTTTTTTTCTCAGATTTGCAAGTTAGAAAGAGCACACATAGAAGAGGCATCACACTGGGTAACCCTAGAATGGTATGGAAGAATGTTTTTACCTTGGATTTACTGATACCAAATGATATAAAATTTGTGAATACTTACAGTGTGAATACTTGAATCGGGCCACATGGAAAAAAGTTAACCAATCACAACATTGCTTGAGAACAAAGGATAGTGATCTTTTTCCCAAGTAAACCAATAACATTGAAGAATGCAAACAATAGATCTTGACAAAAGTGCAAAGTATGAAGACATGATTGATCATAACAGTTACGCACACAACTTAAGCAGTTGTGAAATCAAAGCCTGAAAAAAAAAAAAAAAAAAATTCAGGCCTGAATGGGATTTGAACCCGTGACCTCTTTCTCCGCAGTTCAAATATATAATCTTTCATATATTCACTTGCAAAGTGTGAAGTGTTGCAAATCTCCTAGGAAACTTTACCATTTGCAGGTTGGTTAGTTTTCACCCTATATTTTGAACGTTTTTCAACTGTTTTAGTTTTTTTTGTGGTACGTCAAGGTTATTGTCAAGTTGATGATTCCCTTCATTCTTAACACCTGTGTGGGTATTTTTTTTTCCAGTCCTTTAGAACTGAACAGAATTATGGTGGAGTGGCTGAACAAAGTTCACTCAACACACTCTGATCATTCCAAGTTGTGACAGCCTCAAGAAATGCTGTTTTTCAGGGAAAGAAATAAGTTACAGTTTTTTTCACAAAATTTTCACAAAATACATTCTAACAGAAGACCCTGATGTGCCATTGTAGTTTATAGGTTATTTTGTTTATGCTGTATTTATTTTATATTAAAACAAATTTCAATCAATGGAAACAGAATCAAACTTATGACTATTTAGTGATTTTGGAAATTTTTAAATTGTACATCTGTATTTAGTTTAGCCCATTTCTCAGACAGTCCAGGTTGCTTGTGACCAGTCTCTCTGAGAGCAACTTGGACTGTCTGTTCTGAAATCTTATTAATGGTGAAATAAAAGAAAAAAAAAATGTTGAATGAGGGCCATTATATTTTTTGTGATCATATGAATATTTTGTCACATCATTTCTTGAGAGCAACTTGGACTGTCTGAGAATCAGGCTATATTTAGTTCTGAAATGTTATTAATGGTGAAATAAAAGAAAAAAAANTACTTACAGTGTGAATACTTGAATCGGGCCACATGGAAAAGAGTTAACCAATCACAACATTACTTGAGAACAAAGGATAGTGATCTTTTTCCCAAGTAAACCAATAACATTGAAGAATGCGAACAGTAGATCCTGACAAAATTGAAAACCCATCAGAGTACAAAGTATGAAGACATGATTGATCATCGCAGTTATGCACACAACTTAAGCAGTTGTGAAATCAAAGCCTGAAAAAAAAAAAAAAAAAATTCAGGCCTGTTTTAGTTTATTTGTGGTACATCAAGATTATTGTCAAGTTGATGATTCTCTTCACTCTTAACACCTGTGTGGGTATTTTTTTCCAGTCCTTTAGAACTGAACAGAATTATGGTGGAGTGGCTGAACAAAGTTCACTCAACACACTCTGATCATTCCAAGTTGTGACAGCCTCAAATGCTGTTTTTCAGGGAAAGAAAGAAGTTACTTTTTTTCACAAAATTTCCACAAAATACATTCTAACAGAAGACCCTGATGTGCCATGGCAGTTTATAGGTTATTTTATTTATGCTGTATATATGTTATATTAAAACAATTTTCAATCAATTGAAACAGAATCAAACTTAATTATGACTATGTAGTGATTTTGGAAATTTTCAAATTGTACATCTGTATTTAGTTTAACCCGTTTCTCAGACGGTCCAGGTTGCTTGCGACCAGTCTCTCTGAGAGCAACTTGGACTGTCTGAGAATCAGGCTATATTGAGTTCTGAGATCTTAATGGTGAAATAAAAGAAAAAAAAACCAAAATAATGTTGAAGGAGGGCCATTATATTTCTTGTGATCATATGAATCATATGTGTCACATCATTTTGTTTTCACTGTCCTTGAGAACATTGACTCTTGATGGCCAGAATGGAAATGATCATTTTGAGGCCAATGTTTTCAAGTTCATCATAACATTTCGTAAACAGTAAAACAGAAGTTCTGGTCTTTTCAGTTGTTTTAATTCATTCCTTACATTTAGAATCACAGATGTTTTGTGTAACAAGACACTAAACTGAGCATTTTTCCACTCAGCCTTTAATATGTCTAACATTTAAGATACATTTGCAAAAATAAATGATTTTGCATTTATCTTCAGCACGTGCACGTGGTTTTACAGAAAGCAACATTTGTGATAGCATGAGGTCAAGTTAACCCAAATGAAAGTGCATCAAACTACAAAGAAAGGCAGTCGCATTCCTCAAGCTCAATGCTTATTATTCTTGCAAGTTGGTTGGAAATTCTACGGTAAAATTAGATAAACTTGCAAATTGTCATTTTTATGCTACAGGCAAAACTGTGGCTGTTGTTGTTTTATTTAAATACTGTTATTCCTTTTGTTTCAGACTAAGACCCTGAATACGAGACACTAAATTAAAATTCAAACTACAAAGTTAAATTTCTTAACCCTGGAAAAATAAATTTGAACCACAGAAAATGTATCACGTGCACTATTTGAGATGCTGCAAAGGTTAGAATTTTTTGTACAAGTCCAAAAGAACAGAATATTCAACAGCCATTGTATGTCATTACTTAATGGTGGTAATGATTAAAAAACTAAACGAATGAGATTTGTCTTGAGTTGCTATTTTATTACTACATTGTACTTTCTCATACTAAAATTGAACCACTCCTTTAATAAAATCATACATTTATACACTTGCCTTTGTTATTTACATTGTGTGTCAGACACATCTTATTCCAACAGTATCTTTCAAGCCTTTATTCCAGTTAAAATAGACCTTTCTTGCATTCCAACAAACAATGACACTGAGTGGAGGTCAGGGTGGACAAAAATACAGGAGATGTATGAAAATGTCCACCCCAACCTCGCTTTGGTACTGTTGTTTGTACGCGCGGAAGTGGAATGTGGGAAAGGTCTTTCTGGTCTTATCAGTAAAGAGCTTGGTCACCCCTATGATCATTTGAAATTGAAGATGTAGCAATCTGTCTCCATCTTCTTCAGACTCGACGATTGTGTCCAAACACCAATTTGATAGGTTTTCTATATTTCTCAATTAATTGCTATTAATAAAACTAATTTGTAAAGAAATAAAATCACTTTTCAACCAGTGTGACCCAGCTCTCTGTAAAGGCAGACTCAACATATTATTTAGCCTTGGAATTTAAGAAATCGCAAAAGATGCTGTTTGAATTTTGTGAAATGAACGTGTCAGTGAATCACTAAAACAAGTTTTTACTATCTACAGTATAAATATATTGATTTTACGTTTAACTCTTTGTTCTGACTCCAAGTAAACAGAGTTCTTGTGAATCATTGTTTTCCTTTCTGGCATAATAATAAATAGTTCAGTTTGCTAATAATTATGACTGTTTTTAGGGCAAAGAGAAAAATTTTGAAGTAACAAATTTTGGATGAAGCTATTTCCTCAAATATTCTCCTTCCTTTGTATATGTCTCTCAATAGACCACAAAAGTCAGGTCCCAATATTCACCAAATGTTATGAAAAATTAGTGATTGTGTGCTTCTTTGAGATCTCTATTTAGAAAATAAATGTCTAGTTTTGTTTGACACAATCTTTTGAAAATAAAATATCTCTACAACATTTTGACATTGCTACCATTTGAAACAGTAATATTGTATTATTTAATAGTATTGATGATTTTTAGCCAAGAGCTACTATATACTGTAGGCAGAAAAATGTTCAGACTTTTCAAAACACAAGATATCATTAGAAGTGAAAATTGATATACTACTAAAATGTTACATTGTACATTCTGTAAATGGTTCTAATTTACTATAATGCTAGCTGACCTGACTCATAAATTGAAACTATCAGAATGTTGCTTTGCAGTATGTTGTACAGCATCGCCAAGTCTTGCCACATTTGTTCTGTCTATCTAAAATCTTCAAAGGTCATCACTTATTCCTGGGATCCACAAATCCTCAGATTTCTCCCACATGATTACCGCTTAATGTTAATTTCATATAAATTATATTGATTCTTTTGTCATCAGGAATGAGTTGGAAATGCACTAGATGAACGGACTAAATTGATCAATTTTTTGACAGCTACCATCCATTGATTTACCTAAAAAGAGACAACATCAAATTCAGATTTAATTTACTAATATATATGAATAAGGACAGAACTATTGAGACATAATTTAATGTGTAAGTCTGTTCCAAATGAAACGGTCCAGTTTGAACTAAATGTGTTGGAAGTGAGGCTTAATTATAGAGGCTGCCTAAGTGCTAGCTGGTTAATGGACCTTCAACTTTGAACAACACTTTTGGAAGGTATTAATTTTACTAACCATCCTCCTCAATTAAATTTAACTCTTGTCAGTCCACAGGGCTAGACTCGTCAAAAACAATAAGCAAATTTACTTACTTCCGCAACAAAGTCTACCATCAAGGAAATATGAATATGGTGTGCTTCGTCAACGTTACCATCATCTAGAGCTAAAGAAAAAGATAGAAACAACTGAGAAGGCCTGAAAAAATGGTGAGAAAAATATATATACTGCAGAGCCATCACAAAGTTTTGTAGTAGGCCACTTTATTGTAGGAGTGGGTGATGGGTTTTGACATCTTTTTCTTAAGTATCAGACTATACCAGCAGAGTAGCTGGCTGGGATCACGAAGTAGATGGATAGATGGCGATTTTTGTCAGCTGCCACCTACTTTTGACCACTTTGATACTGTGATAATTCAATTAAAACAAGCTCTCTCCTCATAATTTACAATAAGCACCCTGTCCAATAAATACCCAGTCAAAGGTGGACGCGCAGTGGCTTCAAGTTTAGTACCCTTGTCTCTGGATTGAAAGGTCAGGGTTCGAGCCATGGCTGGGGACATTGTGTTCTTGGCCAAGACACTTTATTCTCACAGTGCCTCTCTCCGCCCAGGTGTATAACTGGGTAACGACGAATTTAATGCTGGGGGTAACCCTGCCATAGACTAGCATCCCATCCAAGGCAGAGTAGAAATACTCCTAGTAGCTTCATGCTACAGAAACCAGCGATAAGCACCAGTCTGATAGGCCACTTAGCTTGTATGTACACTTTACCAAAAGTTCACAGTCCAAGGTATGCAATAAGTCCCTTTTCAAATACATGCCCTTCTATATTCTAATCACTACAACGTAACATGCTCTCATCCTGTTTTATTTGGTTGGACACTCCAGGCAAACCTTCCCAAAATACACACTCCATCTCCATGAGCCCTCTCTTGAGCTACAAANTTGACCACTCTGATACTGTGATGATTCAATTAAAATAAGCTCTCTCCTTGTAATTTACAATAAGCACCCTGTCCAATAAATACCCAGTCAAAGGTGGAGGTGCAGTGGCCTTAAGTTTAGTACCCTTGTCTCTGGATTAAATGGCCAGGGCTCGAGCCATGGCTGGGGACATTGTGTTCTCACAGTGCCTCTCTCCGCCCAGGTGTATAACTGGGTACCGGCAAATTTAATGCTGGGGGTAACCCTGCCATAGACTAGCATCCCATCCAGGGCAGAGCAGAAATACTCCTAGTGGCTGCATGCTACAGAAACCAGCGATAAGCACCAGCCTGATAGGCCACTTAGCTTGTATGTACACTATACCAAAAGTTCACAGTCCAAGGTATTCAGTAAGTCCCTTTTCGAATACATGCCCTTCTATATTCTAATCACTACAACATTGTAACATGCTCTCATCCTGTTTTATTTAGTTGGACACTCCAGGCAAACCTTCCCAAAATACACACTCCATCTCCATGAGCCCTCTCTTGAGCTACAAAAATTTGATTTAACTAATCAAAAGCACTCCTTGCCCAAAATCATATCTGTGACTGTCACTGTATTATATTGATGCTATAGCTGAGAAGAATTGAGCTGTAAGTGAAAGGGCAAAGGTGTTGAATTTTACCTTTGGCAAGCTTTATCATTCTGCTCTTCACACCAGGACTAAGTTTGCCATTAGTCCAATTCTGAGACATTACTTGTAGCCTCCTTGCAATGTCGTCAGCAACCCTTTTCTGCAATTTAAGCAATGTAATCATTTTTCAGTACAAGTGGAAATAATTGACAAAGAACATTAATATCAGACCTGTATAATATCATTAAAATGGAAAAATGGTGTCCACATTATACAGGCTGATCTTGCATGCCAGAGAAATAAAAGTAAGATTTAAGCATGTATACCAGGCCAAAAGCACATACACGTACATACAGACAGACAAACATACAGACAGACAGACAGACAGACAGACAGACAGACAGACAGACAGACAGACAGACATGTACTTTTTGGTAAGGCAGGTCTGAATATGGCAACCTTAGGGCTGGTGTGGACCTGCCATAAAATTTAACTAACCTAATATTTTTTCACCTTTTTATCCTCANTTTGGCAAGCTTTATCATTCTGCTCTTCACACCAGGACTAAGTTTGCCATTAGTCCAATTCTGAGACATTACTTGTAGCCTCCTTGCAATGTCGTCAGCAACCCTTTTCTGCAATTTAAGTAATGTAATCATTTCTCATTACAAGTGGAAGTAATTGACAACGAACATTAACATCAGACCTGTATAATATCATTAAATTGGAAAAATGGTGTCCACAATATACAGGCTGATCTTGCATGCAAGAGAAATAAAAGTAAGATTTAAGCATGCATACCAGGCCAAAAGCACATACACGTACATACAGACAGACAGACAGACATGCACTTTTTGGTAAGGCAGGTCTGAATATGGTAACCTTAGGGCTGGTGTGGACCTGCCATAAAATTTAACTAACCTAATATTTTTTCACCTTTTTATCCTCACTAATAGACACTTCTCAGAGTTCATTAGATTGACAGCAGCAACATACATGTACTACATTGTCTATCTGATAGACCAACCTCTAAGGTGTCCTTAAGCTTGTCAACAACATCCTGCAATGCATCCATGGTCACTTTCAATCCTTCTTGATCATCCATTGAATTGACAGAGTCACCATTTTTCTCTTGGCCAGAGGGAGAGGTACTTCGAGGAGTATTACCGGCACTCAGAGATGCCGGTGGGGTCACATGATTCCCTGGGGGAGGTGGTGGAGTCATACTGTGGCCAGCTGGAGAATGATTAACCACTCCATTCCCATTATGAGCTACTGCTGGTGGAGTGGGGCTCTGACCGTGTACTGGATATAGGGGAGGTGTTATGTGACCCACTGGAGGCTGGTATGGAAATGGTGGTGGGGGAGTTACATGACCTAATGGTGGGATGGATGGCTGAGCGAGGAGAGGGCCAGCGGCAGTTGTTACAGGTGGTACAATAGGATGAAATACTTGTGGTGAGCTGTGACTGTCGTGATGATCATCTAAATGATCGCTTATTTCTGCTGTTGAACGGATGCTATGTAATGGTGCAGTTCTTACTGGTTCAAAACTATGATTTTTAAGATCAAACAGAGGTTGTCCAAGATTCCCTGAAAGATTGTCTGTTGACTTAGCATGAACAGTTGGCGAGTTCAAGGCTTGTGAGGAGTTTACAGCAGCTTGGCTGGCATTTGATGTAGCAGCATCAGTGAATGAAGGAGTAGATATGCTCCTTGTGAACACAGCTGGCATCGATGGAGCTCCCAAGAAATTGCTTACAACAGTAGCTGTTGTGGTTACTGGCGGGGGTGGTGTGAAGAGAGGTTGTGTGAAGCCATTGAGGTTTAGACCAGCTACACCTGAAAACAAAATTGAAATTATTGATTGCTGCATTCTTTCACGTTAACTTTAAGAACATGGTGGGACATCGATAAAGTTTAACACAAATTTCCTTGTTGTCGTCATCAATCTGTAAGACAATCTACAAACATGGCAAAGATATTAAATTTTATGCTAATCTATAAAGATGTACAGTAAACATATGTGCAACTGATCAAAACTCGATCAAAGGGTGAAACAGAACAGCGCTTAACAAGTTCTGTTCACCGGAAACTCATACGCCACTCATTTGAATACTGAGTTGCTTGAGCCCAAACATTACCGAAGTTTTACGGAGCAATATAAACCAAGTTTACGCGCTCTTCGTTATCAATCGGAAAACCAAGTCAGTGCTTCTTTACAGTTTCTTTTCCACTTCATCTTAACGTACTATTAAACTTACACTAACCATTAGCTACATCGTCTTTACTAACGACGGATGCCTGTACACTTGGCGATGGTGACTGTCCCCCGTGAAGAGCCTGTTGGTGTGAAACTCTCTTCCTCAAATCTAACTTCGGCTTGTTCCCGGTTTTGTTATTAGAGAAGGCAAAAGTTGGTGGGTCGTTCCAGCCACGAGCAGAATCGCCATTGTAGGCTATAATGCCGCCAGAAGAAGCTAAAGAAGCAGAGAAAACCATGTTTATAAAACCGTACACAAGACAGGTACGCGGTTTTCGAAGGTTCTGGCGCTCAGAAGGAATAACCTCCAGTGTTTTGACGTCATGAATATTTAGATCGGGGTATAAATATTTTCTTTGTTGCCTTAGAGTTTTCTATAGTACTCCTACGGGAACACGTTACAGTATTATTATAATTCCTGGCTAAAAGAAATTAGTTCAAAACTTGAATATGAAAGAATTAATGTGACGCAGATCAGCTTGAATTCCTTCAATTTAGCAAGTTACGTTCGTTCGACCATGAAAATGTTCTGTCGCATTTCTGTCTTTGTTCACCTTGACTAGAGTCACATCACGTAAGTCACTTACAAGAGGAAAATAAAATATCTTCTTGTTTAATGGGAAAGGAAAGATACGACATAACTAAATCAAAGCCAGGAGAGCCTTCAACGATTTCGAGTTACTCTGAAGACCGACAGCGCCATATTGCGTACGGTTTGACTCATTGACAATAAAACTCGAATTAACCCCGCACCTTTCGGCCTTTGAAGGAACATTCCTGTCTATCGTATTCTGTGATTGTAAATCCACTGCAAAAAAACACGGCTGTACCGCTTAGGAGATATAAAACTTACCTCTAGGGCTAGGATCGCCCGGCATCTTCAGAGGAACGAACGATTTCAAGTAATCGATCGTAAACTCGTGACGTGTCCCTACCCTATGACGTCACATGTACCGGAAGTCGTAGAAAGCGGAAACAGGTGGAAATAAACTACGAACACGGAAAGATAATTTTACAATGCTAAAAATAAAATGCTTATAGCCAGGCTTAAAGGGATGTTTGCTAACGTAATTTGGCTTGAATGGCTTAGAGTAAAATTTTGAGTTACTGAAATTTTGATGTTGTAAATGGAAGTTATTTCTGAGCTGAGCCAGGGAGTTAGAAAAGTAAAATTTTCCGAAAATTTCCGAATATTTACGAAGATTTTCGTGTCATTCCTCCGCATCCGAGATGTCATGCGAAATGTACAAGGACTCAGGAGTCATCAAAACGAGTCAGCGCAAACATGGTGGAATCAAGTTGACCCATAGCGGCCTTTCGGCACCAAATTTTTATCAGGAGGTTTACGTTTACCACAGACAGGATGACACTGATATCATGCCTTATCAAACTGTTATTGGTTGTTTTCTTGACGAGTGGAATTTCCAAGACGGGTCGCGGTCAAACGAACACTGGTAAGCCGCAAAGCTCTGTTCCTGTTTGCAGTCTTGAACAGCTCGGCCAGTTTTGGTCGAGTTTACTAGTAAGCTTAAATATCATGTGCAGAAACTGCAAAAACCCCTTTTTAATCCATCGACCGAAGCTGCTAATTCGCGTATTTAAGTAAGTAATGGCTGTTTATGTGTGCTTGAAGGTGACTGTATACATGCAAGCTTTAGACCATCTCAGATTGTAACGGGATCTCTCTAGCAACATTAACTTGCTATGAAGGAATTTTGATGTTGATTTATGTCTTAAGTTTCACTTTTCTTACCTCCGGCTTTTCTGTTTTTTTATGTATCAAAATAGCTGTCGAGACAGCATTTGATTCGCAAAAGAAACTTCTATATACATTAGAGTGTAAAGATGTACCGCCGCCAGCCTTACTTGTAGAATTTTAATTGGACAGATGACTTTTCTGCCACACAAACTTGTTTAGCCGTGTTTATAGAAAGCTTTAAGTTTGATTCATCTTAAGCCTAAATCCTAAATCCTATATTTCTAACATAGTAATATAGAGCATAAGTACTAAGGGAAAAACAAATTGCTTACAGCTTTTTTATGAAATCTCTAGAGATTCCTTTTGTACCAAAATAAGCTTATTGTCATTTGCATTTTATGAATTGCTAAGGAAACTTAAGCTTATTGTAATTTGCATAATTACAGCAATCTTTGTTTCCCTTGCAGATAACTTTGTTTATTTTTTCCTCTTGTTATTTCATGTCAAGCTGGGAAATTTAAATAATGTAGGGGGCAGACATTTCAGGGCATAATATTAATTGTGATTGCAAATTGCAGATACAAAAAGAGGCTTGTTAGTATTCTGGGCTTGGTTTTTCCTGATGTTGTTAATAAATAATTAAACATGTTAGGCTGACTAAAGGTTGTAAACTGGATGTATTTAACTTTGTCTCTGCTGCATGGGTATAAAACTGTTATTTGCCAGTGGGAGGACCATTTCAAGAAACACGTTGCCGAGGTCAATTCTGAGGGACAAATTTTTCTTGATGTGGACCAACCTAAGTCAGGAAATGCCAAACCTAATAGCAAAAGATTTTGAAATTGGAAAAATATGTTGAGTGAAGCCATTTAAATGGCAGCGTTAAGTTAAATAAAGTATTGTATCATATGGTATTGCAAGAGCAAGGAAAACAGTTTTTTTTTGTGCTGATAGCTTTCATTACTGAATTGATGTCTTTTTACTGCTGAGTTGTGTTTTTTTTTTTCATTTTACATAGCCTACATAGATTAATGTGAACCAAAACCTAAAGTTTCTAACAAGAGTATATATGTGTTCCGTAACCCAGGCTCCGTATCATGAAAAAGTACCTGGCATAATATTAAGCCAATTAAGGATTCAGGATTCTGGACCCGTGAGATGTTTAAGGAAAAAAATAATAACAATATACACTATGAATTAATTTAAAAGGCTAACTACTATTTTGACATTTGTAATGTCAACAGCTATTATATATTAACATTTTGCATTGTTGTGATGTGAATAGAAAACATCACAACATCATGACATTCAGTGTCAATAATAATGCACACATATGGTTTTAGAGTGATTTTACTGACCCCGTGAAACAGAAACTACTTGTTAGTGTGTAGTACTTTCTGCTAATTAGTATTAGCGCGTGGTATACAAAGACAAAGACTAGAAAACAAAAGAATTACTAACTGTAGGGGGATAGTAGGAACTAATACAAAGTTGTGGCGTGTACAATTCCACTATCTATTTCACGGGTTAAGTAAAACCACTCTATTGACCAAGCATGAGTCAAGATGACTGGATATTGGCCAAGTTCTTTTTTTGCATGTTTATGGACTGAGATGGAGTCAAGCCTGTAATCATGCAAAAAAGAATGGGGACAACATCAAGCCATGTTGACCAAACAAGCTTTGTCAAAAGAGGATTTATTATATGGAAAAAGAACACTATTTTCTTATGGGACACAGCTGAGGATCCTAGCGACAGCTTGCTCGCTCAAGTAACCAATCACAATGCTGGATTTGGTTCATCCTGCCTGCTGACAGAGTTAGCCATATAATAAAGAATTATATTTATACTATGTTAATAATTTACCCAATTCCAGCAAATTTTGATTATTTGTTTCTTTTTCTTATATTATACAATGTAAGTGAGTCATTTCTTGAATGTATGATTTTTGTTTTAGGTTTGGAAAATTTGACAGAAAGGGAAAAGTTGAACCTTGAAGCAATCACCAAAATACACTTTCATTTGGATGATGATAGGAATGGAAAGGTTGACTTGAGTGAATCAAATGAGGTGAGTGCCGAGAGCAAATCTCATGAGTAAGAAAGGGAAGGCTGGGATAGAGCAATGTTCAGCTGAGAGTCTTGAAACCAAAATTAAAAAGTAATCTCTCTGGGCAATCTCAATGAGCAATCCATTGAACCAATGAAAACTTCTAGCAACTATGTGTAGCTGATGCAAGTTGTAGGAAAATGTGCGACAGAGTCATGACTGTTTTTTTTGTTTTAATTCTGATGATAAAAACATGTGAGTTTTAAAGCCAGTTGCTGAACGTAGTTATATAAAGCAAATGCAAATTACTTAAATTAACAATCAAGTGAAAACACTCTTTGACTTCACTATTTAAAGATATTATTTTGGTTAGGTTAATAACACATTTCATATAATTATATGATTCACCAAGTGAACCAGTTCTATGTTGGAGACCTTGGATGAAAGACTATAAGTTTAAGTTCCATGTTGGTTTTTCTGGAGCGTGTTTTATTCCAGGTTCTGAGGGAGTATTTAGTCATCTGTCCCCTGGATAGGAATAAGGAAATATGGTTTATTGACCAAGCGTGAGGTCAAGATGGCTGGATATTGGCCAAGTTCTTTTTTGTGTGTTTATAGACAGAGTAAAGGTCCATAAACACGCAAAAAAGAATGAGGTCAATATCCAGCTATCTTGACCAAACAAGCTTGGTCAATAAAGGATCTATTACATGGATAAAGAAGACTTTTCTTTCGGGACACAATGGGAAATCCCAAACGGGCAAGATAGCACCATCTTGCCCACTCAGGTAGCCAACCACAGCACAGGATTTGGTTCATCTTACCCACTCACGGAGCTAGCAAAGTGATAGTAACAGATACAGTAATCACCCACTATGTAAATCACTCACGAGTTGCGTTTTTAATTTCCAAGTATTCACTTATATGTTAACACCTGGGGGGAGAGTGGCAGGACTGTGAGAGTGAGGTGCCTTGCACAAGAAGACAACACAAAGACACTATAGGGCAAGGCTCACAGCTGGACCTTTGGTTCTCAATACAGCTAAAACAATAACCATTAGGTTGCTGTATTGTCTCACAAATGCATGATCATCACATATACATGCTACGTAATAGGCCATTTCCAAGTTACCTTGTGCCTCTGTTTCAAAACGAGTCCTTTCATATGAAAATGAGTGTGATTTGCATGAAAATGAACCTGTAAGGGAAAGGCATTTTCATATGAATGGTTTTGCACTAGGACTTGTTTTTGACACAGAGACACTCAAAGCAATGTGGAAATTGCTTATTATTGGCTTCTTTCTTCCACCTCGGATAAACTTATTAATGTGAAAAGTACCATTGTTGTAATACTAAGATTCTTGATTTTTTTAAAATTCTGATCATTAGTTTATGCGAGATGAACTACAAGTTACTGATGAGGAACGACACTCACACTTCCATGGAAATGATGACTTGATCTCTGTGGATGAACTTTGGCAAAGCTGGATACAGAGTGATGGTCAGGATTAGCTTCAGTATTAATAAATAATAAGGAACTTTTAAGAGCGCAGTTGTTTTTGAGAGGCAGATGTAAAGCTGAAGTCATATAATTGTTTTCTTTTCTTTGGCCTGTATTAATTAATGACCTTTTGTTAAAAATTTCAGCTTGTAAATAAGATTATGCTAATAAAAACAAGAGCTATTCAATAAAAATTTTGGTGGGGGAAGAGTCAATGAGAAATGCATCAGAAACAAGACCATAAACTTCCAACTGACATCTGTGCTTAAAAACAACTGTACTTACTGTAAGCTCTTTATTACACTGAAGCATTCTTGTAATAGTAACTGTAATTGCATTCATTTGACTTTCCAATTATAATTCTCTAAATAAATTTGTTGCAAAATGCAAACCATATTTCTTGCCTTGGAATGTGACACTGTCCTGTGAAGCCCTGATTTTCCAACCATAATCATCATTATATGTTCAAGGCCTGGTTCACACTAGTGACATAATGACAAAACAACAGCAAGGTCTTGTAAAGGAAAAAAACACTTCACATTGTTTTTTTTT